AAAAAAATTCTGTCTTGGTGACAAAATAATGAAAAGACTTAGCAAGAGAAACAGTAACCAAAGTACTCTGAAATTGCTTAATAACTTGTTCTTGATATTGATAAGAGGATAAAGAAAAGCATGTCATATATTAAATTACTACTTTATGACAATACTCAAAGGAAACCACCATCATCTCAGGCATTCAGCACCTGTTGCTCAGAGTACAGTTTAGGCTTGCAGGTGCTATGCATGGAAGTGCTTTCACATTTCAAACATCAGTTAAAGCTGCTTTTCTCAACTTTTTTTTTTTTTTAATTATTTTCTGTTGGAGCCTCTTGTAACTTTGTTCTGAGTGCAGAAGTGGAAATTAACATACACACCCACACCCACACAAAAATCACACTTTTTAAAGGCACATTCCTCATTGTTTAAGGAGGAAAACTGCACTTTGCCTCTTGTATTTGTAAAAAGGATTGTTTACTATCTTCTAGACTGTGTAGAAAAGTCATTGCTTTGCAGGTGAGGGCATAATCATGAAGACCGCATGCTGCCCAGGGCTGACCAAGGGAAGAACATGACATGTGGATATTCCCAAGGAAAAGATTCTAATTTGCAACTCAGAGCTCAGATGAAGGTTGAAGTCAACTGTAATTAGCAGTGGGCAAGTACTTTTGATCTGAAAATCAAGGGCAGGTAGATAGTTCCAAAGCCATCTTTAGTTTCTTTACTAGTTCCCCTTTCCACAGAGAACCATGCGATAAGCAAAGCCACATTAAACAGGCTATGGAAGCAAATGGGGAGTATGACTCACTGAAGTTACACTGCCTACATTAAACCTCCTTTTGCCAGCCTCAAGTGAAGGTGCACCCACTGCTGTCAGGTAGGGTTTTGTGAAAATATAAGTGGAGGACACCTGAGCCATACTACTAAACAGTGGTGGCAGCCTTGGCTCCCAATGAAGTCACTGGCAACTGCAGCTGCTCAGACAGTTGTAAATTAGAGCAGCACAACAGCACTCTTCCTGGTACATCTAATTATTGCTGAAGAAGGTACATGGGAGACAATAATGTCTGTCAGAAAGAGGACTTTACCGGGAATAAAAGGAATTCTGGGCCGGATTCACAACAGTTTGCCTGCAAAACAGCAGCCCAACTTGACAGACGTAGGGAAGAAAAAAAGCTGAAATTTTCACATCTATATAAACACATAAAGGTAACCTTACAAATAAGGTGACTTAAGTAGCAGCAATGCACTGTCAGGTCCCTCATTGTTAGGTTCAATGAATACTGAGAAAAGGTTTTCCACTGAGTAACCACAGTCCAAACACATGTTCAGCTCATCCTTTCAACCAGTATTCTGCACTATGTATATAGGGCACCCTTCTCTCCCCAGTCAACTAAGCTGGGCAATCCAAACCATATTTTACTGCTCTATACACTTCAAGGCATGTCTACATTAGGGGTGCTGCCAGTATAAGAATGAAAACTCTTTTTACACCATCACAGCATAATATTACAGTGACAAAAACCAGTCAAGTCTGTATCTGGTTGGGAATAGCTACCACTCATGGGACACCACTCAAGTCACTTGTGTTAGCTCCAGCAGCAAGAGCCAGCACTTTATTCTTGCATGTTTGGTATGCCTGAAGTATGATATATGCAGTGTATGTGACCCACTCTTTTATGTAATAAACATGTCAGGCATAAAAGAGGGAAAAGAAGAGAAAAAGATCACAGTTATTATATCATTTATTTTTTGCTTACCACAAGTCCTAGCACAAGGGTACGCACTCTCTCCCCAATCTCTGGTGAAATGTCATTGCCAAACTGCTGTAAGGTTGTAAGAAATCTCTTCAGTTTGCTGAGTTGCCTAGCTCCACAAGCTGGTGGTAACTGCTGGTTAGCCAGAGAAGAGGAAGAGGAAGAGGATGGCCCATTGCTAAAGCCATTAGGAGGAGATGGAGCTCCATTTAACGCTGTTGGTGAATGGCTAGTGCCATTGGTTACTGAAAGAAAAAGAGAAGGGAGGATAAAATAGAGAGGGGAGGGGAAGAGAGAGAGAAAGGAGACAGAGAGGAAAATCCATCAGCTTATGTTTTTTGTGCTTGACCTCAAAATTAATTAAGTTGCACAATCAAAGATAATGAGCCTTTTGACAGAGCAACACTCTGCAGTTTATATTTATTTCCCAGTAGCTGGTACTGAACGGTGTACGCATTGGAAGTAAAAGCAGCTGCCTCTCACACAGCACCCTCACAATTCCTCTGGACCTGAAAAGCATCATTTGTATACCAGCCTTTTGTCACAGGACTTTAAAAAGGGAGAGAGGGAAACGGAGAGAGAAAGAGCACAAGTACATGTATGACTGAAGAACAAAAATTGTTCTTTAGGGTGGAAAAAAATGTGCAGACATATTTCACAAAGCCTCACTCTATCTCTGAATATTTTTACTTGTGATTCGTACACACAACTGACAGCTGTGTTTATAAAACAGGACTTTCATATTTTAACCTTACACCATCCAGTGAGAAGGTTATTTTTTCTAATACAGATTTCCTAGTTGCTAACATATGGAGCGCACAAAGTTGTTTCTGCAGGTAAAAATGCTGCCATGGTCACTGTGGCCTGAAGCCTTGCAGCCAGTCTTCAGAAGACTTCCCAGAGACCACAGGCAAATCACTCAGCTTTCATGTGCCAATATCATAAGAAACCATCTCCCTCCTGTTGCAAGGTTGCTGTGAGAATAACTATCTAAATTACTGTGTGTTCAAAACTTATGGCAACAAGATTCATGCAGACATACTGAAGACAACAGTTTCTGGCAGCGACTTCAGTTTGATTCTCCAGAAGAGAGCAAAAATCAAACCGAGGACATCCTTTTCCACCAGGGTTACTTGGAACAGCAACAGTCAGTCTGTTGAGGTTGTTTGAGTCCAACTCACCAAAATGACAGCAAATGGCAAGAAAAAGGACAGCTCCCTAGAAATAGGAATGTAGCAGGGCCCTGGCAGGTATGGGCATGCAGTGGGAACCCAGCAGGCACACAGAAAGCAACTGCATCCAGCAGCAGCCGTGCTCAGCTGGCCACTGCTCTGGAGAAATTTGCTGATTTCTTTTTGGGAAGTCAGTCAGACTCCATCCCAAAAACCATCAAAAATCAGGAACTTGTCTACAATAAAAAATGCATAGGAGTATTAGTCTAAATTACTTCCTATTCAAAAGCATAACCATGGCGAGCTAGCAACTTAAGAACTTTCAACCTCTCTTAATGACCAGCCCGTCAGACTATTTGGCTTCATTGTCTTTGTCAGTTTTTCCATCAGTCATCTTTAAACAGCAAGTCCTTTTAAGGGTGGACACCTATTACTAGATTTAAATCACCAACACAATACTTTTGAAGGAGATTCTGCCCTAGTGACTGAAGTGCACTTCTGGAGGTACTACAGAAAAAGCTGTCTGAATGGCTCTCTGTTTTCTCCTTGTGTTTTATCCTGGTTTTTGGTTTACTCTAGCTGCATGGGCTAGGGAGAACATGAAGTGGAAAATGCAGAAACAGAAAGAAGCTGGCCTCAGCAAGTTCAGCTCCACATGCAGCTCCAAGTTGTGCTCTCCAAACACTGCAGTAGAGTGAGATATTTGAGTAAACAAATACAACATGATTGCAAGGAACTTGCATAGCCAGAAGTCATCATACCAGGAACTTAGTCAATAAGTACTGTGACAAATAAGAACATGTCCTGCTCTAGCCTGACACCACCCAACAACTCAGTCACCAATAAGGGGCTGCTCTAGGCAGAGGGTCCTGGGGCATTGATCAAGAAAGCAGAGAACAGCAGAGTTCATTACCTAGAGCAGATATGAGGAGGAGAAAGGCAGGTAAAATTTCTACCACAACAAAAGAAACATAGAAATACTCCCCAAATGCAACTTCTTTAAAACTTTTTTTTTTTTTTTTAGTAGCCCACCCCACACTAATGACTTTATCTCTTTCTTTATAAGGTTTGAATTTGCCAACTGGAAAATACCTATGTAATTTCTAAAATAAAATTGTTATATTAGTAAAGCAGAATTTAACATTTTAAATTTCCAACTAATCTGTGTGAAAAGCTTTTAAATGTCTAAACCAGAGAAAACAAGCGTGCTCTTGACAAAAAAAAAAAAAAACAAATATGATCTTCCTAGCCTGTAGCAATAAATATAAGAGACACTCCAACAGAAGGGACTGTTTACTGTACAAGCTGAAACCACTAAGGCCAAATTCCAAAATCTGACATGGTAAAAGGAAATTAAAATTGGAGTCTTTTGACTTTTAGTCTTCATATAAACAGCCCCAAAAATCCATCTATGGGCCACTCACCTTCCAAAATGCTGAACTCAATCAAATAAACAAACATCCAGAAATACACTGAATGTAAGAGTGATTAAAGAAGAACATTGTCCTGTTTCTTTCATGATTGCCAAAGATTACTCTGAACTGTGCAAAGTGCCTCAAACTGGAAAGCTTAACCTGTAAGAGCCCCATCCTTCAAAAAATGAGAAACCATTTAACTTTAGCCTAGAGCAGCTCCTGGGATGATTCAGGTGCTGGAGTTCAGCAAAACGGACACATTTTTTCAGGATCAGGGTCACTGGGTTAAATCAGAGTTTATGAGAATAGCTGGCACAAACTCCGCTCACTGTTTAAGTGCCATGTAAATTGTCAGGATAGGGTTCCCTGGGATGAGTAGTACAAAGGCCTCCAGCTGGCCTTCTGCATAGAGGTGAATTTTAAATAAGGCATTTAACAGACAGAAAAGGACTAAACAGACATGGGCAAAACAAATAGAAGATGCTGCCTTCATTCTGTTTAGGCATATGTATTCTACTGTTCTAAAAATGTTTTATTTAAAATGTGAAATGTAAACACATTCTCATGTTTATACTATTACGAGGCAGTATAAAAGAGACCAAAAAATTTGCAGCTAAGACTTGGTAAGAGAAATGTGGATCATTTCATGGCTGTGAAAAGAATAGTCCAGACAGCATGCCAGATTCAAATCTCAGTTACACTGATACTAAGGCAGAGTAATTCCATCCAGACTTGTAGAGTTTCATGTGTGTTTACATCAATCCACTGAGACAGAGATGCAGCCCCAAATGATTCAGAGAACTGGTCACAGACTAGAAATCACTAGATAAAACACTAAAGGGCCTTTATTTTTGGGTTTATATCAATATTAACTAGACATTATATAGCACTTATTTCTATACAAAAGGGAACAGGGTCCTTTAACAGAATGGTTTGAAAGAGGACAAGAGGGTTTTCTGTACTTCTCGCAGAAGGACTGATCTGAGCATGAAGTACATGGGAAATCAGTGCTCACTGTTCTTTGACCCTGTGGCCAAGCTGTCAATGAAATAACCACACAGCTCTGAGCTGAATGTCTCAATACCTTAAAGATGCATTAATCTGTTGTGATCTCAGTTTTTCTCGATTATTTTATTGCAGTACAACCAAATCCTGTTTCAGGACAGTCATGCAGGTTTCCCTTCACATATTTTGGTTTCTTATACACACAATAGAAAGAATATGGTAGAAGAGGAAGAAAAGAAGTCTAATTACACGTTGTGGGCGTGAATGAACTGGTTCTGGGAGCTCCTTGGGTAGTGGGAGGAGGTGGCATGGTTGGAGGCGTCAGCCTGGATTGTGTCTTCACATCCACAGGTGAGTCTGGCATTGTGGAATGCTTCTCAGTGCGATCTGCAACACACACCACAGGAACACACCGATTTATTTCCCCAAGCACACCCCTTGTGACAAAAACTTAAAATCTAATGCAAGAAGTGAGCCATTTCAGCATCTGCCGCAAAAGATTACACCTGATTATCTACTCCAGGGTGCTCTTCCCAAATTACATCATCTAAACCTTACTTAAGAAGGTGTAACACAGATGGTAAGACCTCATTTGTAGCAGTATACCGTTATCTTTTGGTTTTATTTCTGCATGTGCAGATGCTACCTCCCAAGCACTCCTGGAGCTGCAATAATGCCACCTCCCTTCAAAGCTCTCACATTAGCTAGGAGGAAAAAATAGATGAGAGACAGGAGATAAAAACCTGAAGCTCTTTAGTGCAGGTGAGATATTGGATGGGATATTGGTTAAAGCCAGCTCTCTTCATGTCTCTTCTTTGTAAAATCTGCTGTCCCCTCCACCAAGACTCTTTGTAAACATTGTGAGATACTTATGTTAAATACCGTGTGCCTCCTCAATCACTTTACCACCCTAGTCTTGGATAGATATTCTTAGGTTCACCAGAAAAATAAAGACAACATGCCAAAATGTTAAGTCAATAGTCACAGATACATACCATTGTTTTTAAAAAAGCATCTAAGTTTGCACCTTCACACATTAAGAACTTATTATATTCAAAACCTGCAAGATCAGTAGAAATATACCTTCCCAAGAAAACAAACCAAACAAAAGGCAAAACCAGGCAGAAAACCTAACAGTTCTCTTGCACCTAGAGATCTAAAGAGGCAAGACACTTGATATAGAAACTACATATCTGCTTTTTCCAACATCTTTTTGGACATCTTTATGTTAATTTTTTTTAAAACCCACTCAAACCCTTATGATGACATTTATCAACTGAAAGCAAAATTAAGGCTTCCTCACTCATGCTAGGAGTTTAGCAAGCCCTCTTGAACAAAGATGAGTAAGGTCAACTTTAGCTTTTAATGGGAATAAGTTAAATTATTTCATCCCTTCTTTGCTGTGTTTGGGTTATTTATTTTATATGCCATCCTACACAAGTCTTCCTGAACTCCATTAAACTATTTTGCAAAGCACGTGCCATGGCTAACGGGTAAGCATGTGAGCCTGCAGTTTTAATTCAAAACAACAGCAAAGTCCATCACGTTCTATAAATCCTGTCACTCCACTTTGCAACGTGCTTTCCTTGTTCTTAATAACAGCATACAAACTTCCACAACAGCAACTTCCACAACAGCAACAAATTAAATAAAATTTGCCCTGAGAGACACTGAGAGAAATTATATGCAACGCACATTTAACAAAGGATGTCTAAGAGACTCAAAACACTTAGTTGCCAGAAAGTAAAAACAAAAACAAACCCCCCCCCACCTCCAAAAAAAAAAAAACCCAAAAAAAACCAAACCACACAAAAAACAAAACAAAACAAAACAAAACAAAACAAAACAAAACAAAAAAACAAACAATGAACCAAAAAAGACCAAAAGAAAACCCACAAAAACCAACACACAACACATCCTGATCTTCAGCTGCATAAACTGAGGAAATACGTCCCAGAGACGCAATGTGTCAGGTACTGAAATTATAGAAGACATCTTCACCCTTTGTAGAAATTCCTACAGATGATGCTTCAGTTCTCAGGGAAAAGGAGTAATTTCATACAGGATTTTGAGACAAGTTTGGGGAAGGTGAACAGTGAAACATCCCCCAAACCAGGATGAGAGGAATACAGATACAGTATTAAAGGATCTGTAGTGTTGACCTCA